GTATAAAGGAGATAGAAATTTCAAATTCTAATAATAAAAAAATCATAAATAATAGAAGGTAAATGATGAAATTTATATAATTTATTTGGATTACTATTGTTCCTCATTTGAAAATTTTATAATAAATAATTTGGAAAAATTGAATAAACGGTCATTTTTAAAATCTAATTATAACAAATGCACTGGTCATCATGTATGAAAATAGATTCAAATTTATAATGAAAGATAAAACCTACAAATTGAATTAGAGCAAGATATTTGTGTTTTTATATCAGTCACTTACATTTTGTATATTTTAAATGATAAAAAAGATTTACCTGACTACAAAATTTAAAAATTATAATGTATCTAAAAATTAATATACTTTTAAAGTTTTTTACATCAATTTGTAAGTTGTATAATAGTAAACACCATATTACTTAAGTTAACTAAATTAATTTCAATACAAAAAGTATTAAACCAGACATAACAGAAGAAAATAGAATAAGGGTAAAAAAATTATAAATTAAAAAAGAGCATGTTTATAGTAATAGAAAGGCATATAAGTATAAAATATTAAAAATGTAAAATCTTAAAATTTATAAGAAAATAATTTATTTTTTAAATTTATTAAATAATTAATGTATTCAATCAGTTTATAAATTAGATACATTAATTATTTTAAAATCTAAAAAATAAATTGTCTTTAGTAATTAATAAAAAATAGAGAAGAATAAATATCACTTACAATCTTATTAACATGTATATCTTATTATTTAGATATTTGTGCACAAATTTTATATAAAATAATGTCATGGTATATCTTTGAAATGAATTATATAGTCACGTGATCGTTAAATAGAATTGAGTTGCATTTAAAATTGTATCATAATATCAACAACTCGTAATTATTTTGTGATTACAAAAATGAAAACTATTATATAATTATATATTCTTTTTCTTATTAATTATATGAGTTGTATAATCATAAATATCTTATTATTTAGTTGAATTAAACTAATTTTGATACAAATTAGAATAAAATAAGTTATAAAATAATTGAACATTATTTTTTAAAGCAACAAAATTCAACCCCTCATCTCTGTGTTCTATTTGGAGTCACTCGTCTAAAAGTGACATTAGAGTCTAACTCTTGTTATAAAATTAATAGTCTAATGAGGTAGTATAATGACGACAAACACTTCTTTTTTTAAATAAAAAAATTTCGTAAATACACATTCACTGTTTGATGGTGAAAAGTTTAAATAATGGAAAGCGAGATTTACAAATTTTATTAAGGAAAATGACTTTGAAATGTGAGATTTTATAATTAATTGTTTGTTTATTTTTACTTTTTGCTTTGATGACAAAATAGTAAATAAACTTGTTTTTTATTAGAGAGAATAAGACATGAGAAAAGTAAAGCTTGATTTTAAAGTCAAACATCTTTTGATGAGTTCCTTAAGCTAAACACTATAAAGTGAAGTCTTGATCTGAAGTGATAATCAAGTTATTTGTCTTGGGAGATCCATATGTCAAACCCACTCACTTAAGGACGACACCTAATGTCAAGCGGCATTTAGTGTAATCTGTTGGGTTTGGACTCCCTTCCTATGTGGAGAAATCCCCAATCTGATTAGCTCATTTGTCTCACTTATTTAAGTAGAAAGGATCAGTTTAGGGTTAAGAGAGATAGAGAAAAAATAAGAATTCAAAAGAGAGAAAAGAGGAGAGAAACTCATTCCCGTTTTTCTGCAACCAGTCTCACTAAATCGACGATTTCCGATTTGTTAATTGTTGTATCGAGTTCAAATTTGGTGAGCAGGTTCGTAACACATATATCTAACTTTTGACTGTTCATATTTCCAATACGAATTCTGAGGTGAAAGTTATTTTCTACGCACTGAAGCTGCAATTTTGGAAAAAAAATCAGCTTTTTTATTCTTATTTGTAAGTTAGTTTGCTTTGTGATTTGCGGTTGTTATCACTAGTTTATGAATCACTTTAAGACTCTCTTGTACCCTTAATTGATTATAGTGGAGTTATTTCTTTGGTCTGGACGACTCGTGGTTTTTACTCTCATATTGAGGGGTTTTCCACGTTAAAAATATCGGTGTTCTTTTGTGCTTTTATTTGTTTGATTTATCGTCTTATATTTGTTTTTAATCCTCAAGATTTTACAAGTTTGGGGAAGTTTTATATTCGCTGCGTATTGGTATATTATTTTGTCTTAGTTTCCCATCAGAGTGGCATCAAAGCTCTTGGTTAAGGGCTATTTTACTTGTTTGAATGATGGAGTCAAATACAAAGATGAAGATGGTATTGTTGAATGGTTCTAATTATCATTTATGGAAAGACAAGATGAAAGACTTACTATTTGTGAAGAAATTGCATTTACCTGTTTTTAGCTTTGCAAAGCCGGACTCTATGTCTGAGGAAGGATGGGAGTTTGAACATCAACAAGTATGTGGTTTTATTCAACAATGTGTAGAAGATAATGTTTATAATCATATTTCTAATGAGACACATGCAAAATCTTTACAGGAGAAGATAGAGTCCTTGTATACCTCTAAATCAGGGAATAATAAATTGTTCTTATTGAATAACTTCATAAGTTTGAAGTATAAAGAGGGGACTTCTATTTCAGATTACTTGAGTGAATTTCAAGGCTTCCTTGATCAGATGTCAGGAATGAGTATCAAATTTGATGATGAAATTTTAGGACTATTTCTATTGCTATCTTTACTAGAGTCTTGGGAGACATTTCGGGTTTCTATCACAAGTTCTGCTCCTAGAGGTGTTGCTTCTTTGGAAACGGCTAAGGGTGGTATTCTTAATGAGGAGATGAGAAGGAAGGCACATGGTTTTTCATCTCAACCCGGGGTACTGGTCACTAAAAATAGGGGGAGAAGCCATAAAAAAGAACTGAAAGGTGGTATAGAGAATAGTAGAAGCAAGTCCAAGTCGCGATACAAGAATATGGAATGTCATTATTGTCACAGGACACGTACAAAAGTATTGCTATCAGTAGAAAAGAGATAACAAATACAAGAAGGGTAAGTCTAAACAAATAGACCATGAAGATCATTATGATGATCGTGTTACTACTGCTACTAGTGGTGATCTTGTTATTCTATGTAATCATGAGTCTGTTAATCTTGTATCAGACGAGAGCATGTGGATAGGTGACAGTGATGCTACATTGCATAATACACCAAGGAAGGATTTCTTCACATCTTATACTTCTGGTGATTTTAGAGTGTAGAAGATGGGTAATGATAGTGTACCTAAGGTAAGTAGTGTTGGTGACGTTTGCTTGAAAACCAACATAGGAATGCAATTGTTGCTTAGAGGTGTCAAACATGCTCCAGATGTCTGCTTTAATTTGATCTTTGTGCATATGCTAGATGATTGTGGTTATGATAATCACTTTGGTTCTGGAAAGTGGAAACTCAACAAAGGTAACTTGGTTGTGGCTAGAGGGGAAAATATTTCTAAATTGTATTGGGCAAAAGCTTTGTTAGCTAGGCATAATGTGAATGCTATCGACATGGAAGCATCTTTGTGGCACCAAAGACTTAGTCATATTAGTGAAAAGGGGCTTAATGTTTTGGCTAAAAAGGATGTTCTTCCTGGATTAAAGAATCTAGATTTAGAGAAGTGTTCTCATTGCATGGCTAGTAAACAGACTAGAGTATCTTTCAAGAGACATTCACCCTCAAGGAAGTCAAAGCTACTTCAATTGGTACATTTTGATGTTTATGGTACATTAAAGGTAAAACTCTTTAGTGGTGCATTTTATTTTGTTACCTTTATTGATGATTGCTCCAAGAAACTATGGGTTTATGCCTTAAATATAAAAGACTTTGGAAAAGTTTAGAGAATTTCATGCTTTGGTTGAGAGGCGGACAAGCAAGAAGCTGAAATGTGTTCGTTCAGACAATGGTGGAGAGCATTATGGACCATTTGATTCCTATTACAAACAACATAGTATTGTACATGAAAAGACTCCTCCAAAAACTCCTCAATTGAATAGTTTAGCAGAGAGGATGAATCAAACACTAATTGAGAGAGTAAGGTGTATGCTTTCTGAAGCTAAGTTGCCCAATTATTATTGGGGCGAGGCACTTTACACGGCAGTGCATGTTCTTAATCTCACTCCTACTATTGCTTTGAATAGTGAAGTTCCAGACAAATTTTGGTTTGGAAAAAATGTCAAGTATGATCATTTGAGAGTTTTTGGTTGTAAGGATTTTGTGCATATTCCAAAGGATGAAAGATCCAAGTTGGATGCAAAGTGAAAACAATGTATCTTCATTGGCTATGGGCAAGATAAGTTTGGCTACAAGTTGTATGATCCCGTAGGGAAGAAGCTTATTCGAAGTCGAGATGTGGTGTTTATGGAAGACCAAACTATTGAAGACATCGATAAGGTAGATAAGTCTACACCCAAGAAAGATATTAGTTTGTATAATGTTGATCCAGTTCAGTTACCTAGTCATAATCTGGATGTTATTAGTGATGATGATCACAATGGTGAGTCATATGATTATGTTGATAATCAACAACTTGGAGATGAGGTAAACATTCTAACTAATAATGGTGAAGGGGAGAGCGATTTGTCACAGGATGAGAATCTTTGTGAAACTTCATAATCATCTCAAGTTCAACCTAGGAGGTCTAACAGGCATGGACATCCTTCTACAAGGTATAATTCTGATGAGTATATGACCTTGACTGATGAGGGTGAACCTGAGTGTTTTCAAGAGGCCATGGAAATTGATGAAAATCAAAAGTGGACGGATGCAATGCATAATGAGATGAAAACATTGCATGATAATCACACTTATGATTTAGTGAAGTTGCCTAAAGGTAAAAGGGCTTTGAAAAACATGTGGATGTGTAGAGTTAAACATGAGTGCAACTCTAAGTTTCTAAGATATAAAGTCAGATTAGTGGTGAAAGGTTTCCGTCAAAGAAAGGGTGTTGATTTTAATTATATTTTCTCACCTATTATAAAGATGTCATCAATTAAAACTGTGTTGAGTTTGACTGCTACTCTTGATTTAGAGGTTGAGAAAATGGATGTGAAAACGACTTTCCTTCATGGCGATTTGGAGGAAGAGATATACATGAAACAATTCAATGGTTTTCAAGTTAAAGGTAAGGAAGATCATGTGTGTAGATGGAGAAAGAGTTTATATGGGTTGAAACAAGATCTAAGGCAGTGGTATAAGAAGTTTAAGTCTGTTATGTGTGATCAAGGATACCGAAAGACTACTTCAGATCATTGCGTCTTTGTTAGAACATTTCCTAACTATGACTTTGTAATCCTGTTGTTATATGTTGATGATATGATTATTGTAGGAAAAAGTATTTATAACATTAACATGCTAAATAAGAAATTGGGAGAGTCATTTGCCATGAAAGACATGGGAGCAGCAAAACAGATTATTGGTATTAGAATCATGTGTGACAGAAAAGAGAAGAAACTTTGGATGTCACAAGAAAATTATATCTAAAGAGTGATGCAAAGATTCAAAATGTAGAGTTCTAAGGCGGTAAGCACTCCTCTCGCTACTCATTTCAAGTTGAGTTCTAATCAAAGTCCTTCAA